ACATAATAGCACAAGAAAGAAATATGAAATGATTGGAAAAGTAGTAAAACTATAATTATCAATAGATGATATGATTTTCTACATAGAAAAATAAAAATCTATACATGAATTATTATCATTTATGAGAGAGTTTAGCCAGTTTGACAGATATAAGAGTGACATTCAAAATTGGATTGCATTTTTAATTACCAATCCTAAATAAAAATGCAGCCAAAAAAGCCAAAAAAAAAAAAAAAAATGCAGCCAAAAATGGAGAAGCTCTATACAGTCAGTAAAAACAAAACCTAGTGCTGACTGTGGCTCAGATCATCAGCTCCTTATTGCAAAATTCAGTCCTAAATTGAAGAAAGTAGGGAAAACCACTAGACTATTCAGGTATGACCTAAATCAAACCCCTTATGATTATACAGCGGAGGTGATGAATAGATTCAACGGATTAGATACGGTAGACAAAGTGCCTAAGAACTACAGACAGAGGTTTGTAACATTGTACAGGAGGCAGCGACCAAAACCATCCCAAAGAAAAAGAAATGCAAGAAGGCAAAGTAGTTGTCTGAGGAGGCCTTACAAATAGCTGAGGAAAGAAGAGAAATGAAAGGTATGGGAGAAAGGGAAAAATATACCCAACTGAATGCAAAGTTCCAGAGAGTAGCAAGGAAAGATGAGAATGCCTTCCTGAATGAACAATGCAAAGAAGAAAGGAAAACAATAGGATGGGAAAGACTAGAGTTCTCTTCAGAAAAAGAAGTGGAGATATCAAGGGAACATTTCATGCAAGGATGGGCATGATAAAGGACAGAATCTGAGGTTGTTGATACTTCTCCCAGCAATCTTGATTCCAGCTTGTGATTCATCCAGCCTGATATTTCACATGATGTACTCTGCATATAAGTTAAATAAGCAAGGTGACAATATACAGCCTTGATGAACTCCTTTCCCAATTTGGAACCAGTCTGTTGATCCATGTCCAGTTCTAACTGTTGCTTCTTATTCTGCATACAGGTTTCTCAGGAGGCAAGTAAGGTGATCTGGTGTTCCGATCCACATTGTTGTGATCCACACAGTCAAAGGCTTTAGCGTAGTCAATGAAGCAGAAATAGATGTTTTTTTTTTAATTCCCTTGTTTTTTCTCTGATCCAGCATATGCTGGTAATTTGACCTCTGGTTCCTCTGCCTTTTCTAAATCCAGCTTGTACATCTGGAAGTTCTTGGTAACACGTACTGCTGAAGCCTAGCTTGAAGGATTTAGGCATAATCTTGCTGGCATGTGCAATGAGTGCAATTGCACGGTAATTTGAACACTCTCTGGCATTGCCTTTCTTTAGGACTGGAACAAAAACTGACCTTTTCCAGTCCTGTGACCACTACTGCATTTTCCAAATTTGCTGGCATAATGAGTGCAACACTTCAACAGCATCATCTTTTAAGATTTGAAATAGCTCAGGTAGAATTCCCTCACCACCACTAGCTTTGTTCATAGTAATGCTTCCTAAGGTCCACTTGACCTCACACTCCAGGATGTCTGGCTCTAGGTGAGTGACCACCCCATCGTGGCTAACTGGGTCATTAAGGGCTTTTTTGTATAGTTCTTCTGTGTATTCTTGCCACTTCTTCTTAATATCTTCTGCTTCTGTTGGATCCTTGCCGTTTTTGTCCTTTATTGTGCCTATCTCTGTATGAAATATTCCCTTGGTATCTCCAATTTTCCTAAAGAGATCTCTAGCCTTTCCCATTCTATTGTTTTTCCCTATTTCTTTGCATTGGTCACTTAACAGGCTTTCTTATCTCTCCTTGCTAGTCTCTGGAACTCTGCATTCAGTTGGGTATATCTTTCTCTTTCTCCTTTGCCTTTTACCTCTCTTCTTTTCACAGCTATTTGTAAGTGCTCCTCAGACAACCACTTTGCCTTTCTATATTTCTTATTCTTGCAGATGGTTTTGGTCATCACCTCCCATACAATGTTACAAACCTTCGTCCATAGTTCTTCAGGCACTCTGTCTACCAGATCTAGTCCCTTGAATCTATTCATCATCTCTACTGTTTAATCATAAGGGATTTGACTGAGGTCATACCTGAATGGCCTAATGGTTTTCTCTCCTTTCTTCAATTCAGGCCTGAATTTTGAAGTAAGGAGCTGATGATCTGAGCCACAGTCAGCTCCTGGTCTTGTTTTTGCTGACTGTACAGAGCTTCTCCATATTTGGCTGCAAAGACTATAATCAATCTGACTTTGGTATTGACCATCTAGTGATGTCCATGTGTAGAGTTGTCTTTTGTGTTGTTGGAAGAGGGTGTTTGCTATGACCAGTGTTTGCAAAACTCTGTTAGCCTTTGCCCTGCTTCATTTTGTACTCCAAACTTGCCTGTTATTCCAGGTATCTGTTGACATCCTACTTTTGCATTCGAGTCCCCTATGATGAAAAGGAGATCTTTTCTGGTGCTAGTTCTATGAGGTCTTTTAGGTCTTCATAGAATCATTCAACTTCAGCTTCTTCAGCATTAGACGCTGGGGCATCAACTTGGATTACTGTGATATTGAATGATTTGACTTGGAAACGAATCAAGATCATTCTGTCATTTTTGAGATTGCAACCAAGTATTGCATTTCAGGCTTTTTTTTATTGACTATGAGGACTACTCTATTCCTTCTAAGGAATTCTTGCCCAAAGTAGTAGATATAATGGTCATATGAATTAAATTCTCCCATTCCCATCCATTTTAGTTCACAGATTCCTAAAATGTTAATGTTAACTCTTGCCATCTCCTGCTTGACCACAATCAATTTACCATGATTCTTCGACCTAACATTCCAGGTTCCTATGCTGTTCTTTACAGCATCAGACTTTACTTTTACCACAGATGCAACCACACTGGGCATTGTTTCTGCTTTGGCTCAGCCTCAGCCTCTTAAATATACTAGTATACATTAAAAAAATTTTGAATATTATTTCAAATAAACTTGGGAAATAGGAAATTTGCCCAAGATTCATCATCCTCACATCCACCCCCCACTCCCCACCAAATTTCAATATTATTTATTTTCCTTGTTGGTTTTTCTTACCCCTACTTGCTTTTCCATTGTGTTGGGAATCACAGTGTAGATAAAATTTAAGGCAAGTACTTTAAGATATTTCTTTTTCTCTTATATTACAAAACTTTGAGAGCACCAGGGAATCTTGAAATATTCATTCAGTTATGTAGCATTCAAAATATTATCACACATCCATTTTATGTCAGGCTGTTTGTTAAAAGCTGAAAAGGAAAAGATGGTTACCACCCTCTAGGAGATTACATTCAAACTGGACAAATAAATGTGTAGAACTTTACAATAAATGTGAGCTATTTCAAATCTTAAAAGATGATGCTGTTAAAATGTTGCACTCATTATGCCAGCAAATTTGGAAAATACAGCAGTGGTCACAGGACTGGAAAAGGTCAGTTTTCATTCCAGTCCTAAAGAAAGGCAATGCCAAAGAATGTTCAAATTACTGTGCAATTGCACTCATTGCACATGCCAGCAAGATTATGCCTAAATCCTTCAAGCTAGGCTTCAGCAGTACGTGTTACCAAGAACTTCCAGATGTACAAGCTGGATTTAGAAAAGGCAGAGGAACCAGAGGTCAAATTACCAACATATGACTGACTCAGCTTGGAATTATTTTATAAGGCTTCCTAGGGAAAGGAGTGTTTGTATAAGAGTTTGCAGGTGGGAAAGCATGTACAATGGAGAAAATATATGGAAGACTGTGCTGGTTTGGGAGTTGGGAATATATATTATGACTAGTGGAGAGTCCTAGGGTTTGATGATTGCAAAAAATTAAGGCTTGCAGTTGGATAAGTGAGATGATTACAATCAAGGAAAACACAAGTCTATGGAAAGGAAGAGTTTGTAGAAATCCAATAACATATGGGGAAGGGGAAAAGAGAGTTGTAACACCTGAGGGGAGAAATGGCAATGCTGAAATCCAAGTATAAATAGGGAGGAGGCTGGCAGATGCTATGAAATCCTTTTATGGAGCAAAAGGGCAGTGACCTTGGAATTGCTGAGCCAGCAGTAGTGACATATTTAAAGCCAAATTATGTGCTGGAAAACAAATTAAACAGAATTTGAGAAAAGCCCAAAGCACATAAGAGTTTTCAGTAGCAAAGCATACAAGAGAACCTACTCATTTTATGAGGAAACTGGGGGTCCCTTCCAGGCAGACTGGAGAACCAGGAGACCTGAACATGATGGATCCAGGTACAGAGCCTAATCACCACACAGCTTAGTCAGGAAGCCATGCACCAAAAGCCACCCCTTCCAAATGCTGCTTCTGTGTTTAGTTAGGGCTCTTGATAACCTCTCAGTTGGGAAAATTGATTTTAGGACAGAAATAGGCCAACCTGCAAGATAAGAAGGCATTAACTTCAGGCTTCCTCCCACACACACTACTCAGGCAAACTTGGAGAGCACATAAATTCTGGTTATTTTGTGCTCCCCGTGTGTTCTGAAAGCTTTTCGTTAATTAGCCTCACTAGCCTTCATTTAAAGTCAAATGCCAAAACGTCTATCTTGTAAGTGGAGCCATTTTAGCTAAAGTAAGACTTGTTTGGATTAAATTTTCTCAGAACCATTAGTAATTTCTCTACAAGTTCTCTTAAAACACTGGTTACACACTAAGAAGATTCTCAGCACTCTGCATATTATCATAAACTAAAGGCCATTAAATTCTACAATGGTGTCAACTTATATCCTTTCTCAAAATCATTGCTATCTTCAGTTTCTGAAAAGAACTATCTCATATCTTCTGAATTTTCTTGATCGTTCAGATCCAATGAGACCACCAGGATTCTAAATCCTGTTATGAACATCTTTTTTTTTGCCCCTGTTGCCTCATTGTAAAATTAGGGTCAAAAATACTACCTACTCGTTAGGTTGTTGTAAGAATTAGCTGGCACATAATAAGCACTCCACAAATGTCAGCTATTATGTTACTGTTTTTTATTATTTTTTCTTCTTATTCATGCTGCTTATTTTGCCTTATTTACCTAGTAATTCTTACCAACTTTCAGTGCTCAGTTCAACTCAATGGTCACTTTCTCAGTGAGGTTTTCATGGGCTTCCCTGGTGGCTCAGTGATAAAGAATCCACCTGTCAAAGCAGAAGACACACATGTGTGGGCTCATTTGAGCCCATGTACCACAACTATTGAGCCTATGCTCTAGAGCCCTGGAACCACAACTACTGAAGTCTGAAGGCCCTGGATCCTGTGCTTCACAACAAGAGAAGCCACAGCAATGAGAAACCTGTACACCACAACTAGAGAGTAACTCCTGCTCCCTGCAACTAGAGAAAAGCTTGTGCAGCAGTGAAGACCCAGCACAGCCAAATAAATAGAATCAGTGAGGTCTTCCTTGGCCACCTTGGCCTTCTTCCAATCATTCAAATTCTTCTACATTACATTGCCTTAGTTCTCATCCTGATTGTAATAAGTGATTGACTTAGAATCTACTTTCCCCCTTTCCCTCCCCTCTCTAGAACTTTAACCAAATGTCAACTTTTCAATGAGTCCTTCTTCCCTGTTTAATTTTTCTCTTTACCATTGATTGCTTCCACACAATATGTAGTTTACTTATTGTTTTCCTCTATATCACATGGACAGGAACTGTATCTGTCCCTGCCACTACTTTAGCTCAAGAAGGCTGCATGGCCTAAAATATTAAACATCTTATAAACTAAAATATTTTCTTTTATTTACAAAGCAAGTCATTTCTATTTTTGATGAGAAGTTTTAGATGTCAAGTTAAAAATATTCAGCAGAGTACCTAAAGTTTTTAAAATTTTTTATGTGATACACAGTCAAAACAGCTTGAAAACCACTCCTCTATACAAATTGTCTATTTTTAAGTGGCATAAAAAAAAAAAAATAGGGCTTCCCTGGTCCCTCAGATGGTAGAGAGTCCACCTGCAATTCAGGAGACCTGGGTCTGATCCCTGGGTTGGGAGGTTCCCCTGCAGGAGGGCATGGCAACCCACTTCAGTATTCTTGGCTGGAGAATGTCATGGACAGAGGAGCCTGGTGGGCTACAGTTCATGGGGTCACAAAGAGTCAGACACAACTGAGTGACTAAGCACACACCAGATAAAATAAAATGAGGAATGACTTCAATTAGAATAAATATTTCATGACATGATTTGATTTTAATAAAAAAGTAATCGTCCAAGTTTTTTGGTTGGAGGATTTTATCAAATACATCTTGAAACTTGGTACTCCAGGAAAATAGTCCAGCTTCATTTGAAGAACTAGTTACCTAACCTGCCTTGCTTCAGTTGTTCTGAACTCAGAACATTTCAACTCTGACCAATCTTCTCCTATAAAAAGAGCCACACACAGCAGACAAGAAAAGGCAAGAGAACCAAAAGCTAGATGAATATTAATCATTAACAGGTAATCTCCAAACCAATATTTGGAAACTCTTTGTTTACACTCTAAGTATCGCTCCACAAAAAAAGGTGTAGATGCCTTTTTTTTTTAATAGACGGATAGTGTGAACATAGGCATATTTTCAGGAAATTTTAGAAACTAAATTGGAACTTAGAGAGCTTGATGAAGACCTTGGGAAATGTGTTCATGTGCTTTTGGCACTGAGAATTCCATGGAGAAAACAAAGTAAAAGATCCAAGGATAAAAGTCAGCAGAAATTAGAAGACAGATATAAGGTTCTAGCATATTGATAAACAGATGAAGGATTTTCAACAAACAGAGAAGAATCACTAATTAAAAAGCAAAATTGAAGGAAACTCTAAGACCACTAGATGAAAAGCAAATCATACATAATGTTCAAGGCAACATCAGTTGGAAGTGATTAACAGCTTGGAACATCTTGGTCAAAGTATGGATTTCAGGTTAAAGACAGAATCTTATACCACTGAGTCTAAATATACCTCTCCTATAAAAGTTAGCTGGCTGATCAGACTTCATTATTATATTAGACACAAGAAAAGACTTGAAGGAAGTCAATACTGGCTAAGTTAATATTTTAATGTATTAAGGTTCCATAATGATAGTATTCCTTTGAAAAAAGAAATTATTCACTATTATGGGATAGTATGGGACTAAGGATTATTCAAGTACTGTTTTAAAATATCTCCACTGAAATATATTCAGAAGTGGATGCAGGGGGTGGGTTCATGAAAAAAAAATGTTAGTGGCTAGGGCTAGGCTAAGGTAAGCAAGAGGTACCCATGATGCAAAATTAAGGAGATACTCACTCTCATATGGCAATTCTGTGCTTGCACAAAATGAGCCTGAGAAAGAGTGCCTCCCTGGCACCTAGCTTGCCTTACCCTAGTGACCCTTGAATTAAGTTCAATAACAGTGACAATTATGATATTCAATAGAATACAATTCTCATATGCAAAGTACTTAATGCGACACTAGTACATTAACTACAAGAAGTTAGAGCAAAATTTCAGCGAACGGCAATGAAGCCAAGGCGCTGTACTTAGGTGAGACGTTCAGATGTCTCAGTGTACCAGTGAGTAGCACTGAGACATTATTCACCTTTTACTCCATAGGTTATTAACTTGAGAAATAAAGCATTAAGATAACAATAAATTTGAGAGCACAACACAGCAAAATGTAATCTTCACACACAAGAGGACTACAAGTCTTCCTCTATGCCTTAAATTGTTTCATTTAAATAAAAATAGTCAAAACAAAATTTATAAGTAAAACAAAGGGAAACAGGAAGCAAGAATGACAAAAGATAAGGCTAACATATTAAAAAATGAGACAAACTCTCTTTGAAATAAATAAATCACTAAGTGGTCTAATGAAGAAGCAGAAAGAAAGCACACAGGCATCATGTCATAGGTACAAAAGAAGCTCAAACCTCAGCTATAGAAAAACATGAATATGTTATAAAAAGATAATTGATAAAACATTGGAATATTTCACAAATATAATTTAAATTATGTATAAAATGGATGATCTTCCAAGATATCTTAAGTTGTCAAAACAGATGGAAGAAAATATAGAGCCCTTTAACAGGCCCATAACACAAAGGAAATAAAGCCTCTTATCAAAGAGCTCTTCTCAAAGTAGCTTTGGTGGTGGTTTAGTCACTGTTGTGTCTGACTCTTGTGACTGTAGCCTGCCAGACTCTTCTGTCCATGGGATTTAAGCCTACATAATTATAAACCAATGCTTTCAAGCCTTCACATAATAATAACAACAATAATAAAATTTCTATTCTAGTTAATTTTTTCAGAGTATTGGGGAATAAGTTCTCCTTTCTTGTTTTGAAATCAGCATAAACCCCATATCCAGACATGACACTCATGCATCCAGAGTCAATGTCATATACCAGTAAAGCAGCAGAAGTCCTGAAGAAACCATCAGTGAATCAAATTCTGTGGTCTATCAAAAGAATACTGAAGAAACAGTTTGCTCAACATTAAGAACTATATTAATGTACAATATTTAATAATCAAACAGAAGCAGATCATCTCATTCAATAGATATCAATATGATTTTTGAGAAAAACAAATTACATTAAATGTTAGAAATGAATATTAGAAAAGAATTGTTAATGTTAGAAACAACTCTTTGGGATGGGGGAGATGGATTAGAGATGCTTCCTATTAACCACAATGCGTCTATTCTGAAGACGTTAGGAAATGTGGACGGTAACTGCTTCAGACCATCAAATGGAGAAAGATAACTGAAGTGCCTCTGACACACAGATGTTATTTTTCAGGAATAATCAAAGCAGGTGCTCAGAAAGCCTAGAAATGCTGAGCCATTGTTGTTCTTACCTTTACCTCCGAAGACAACTGATGCTTCCAGGGATAGGGTTTCTTGGGAAGCCTGAGCTTGCTCATTTAGGTGTTTAAGAACTTAGACTTTAATCCAGAAGCTGACAACAGAGACTGCCCTGCTGCCTTCTCCTCTGATGCTGGTGGGTCGGGCAAAGGAGGAGGAATCTGAGGATCAGGGAGAATGGGAAAGTAGAGATCAGGGCTCCTTCCCAGGTGTCTGTCTGTCAGACCTAAGCTGAAGAGAGAAGAGAAACTTTGAAGTGGATGAAACATGGAGTTTAAGTAAATGTTTTATTTTTAATACACATAAAAATATACAAATCATAAATGTACACTTTTCACAAAGTTAAAACACCCAGGCGACTAGCACCCAAGTAATGGATTATTACCAGTACCTCAGGAGCCTCCTTTAAGTGCCGCCTTCCCTCTCCTACCCAAGGGGAATCCTTACCTGGATTTTTAATAATTAGCTTTGTCTGTTTGAAAAAACAAAACTCTATTTAAACTTTGTTTTAGATTCTTATTACTCCCTACTGAGTACTCCTCCCTTTTTACTAACTTATTATTTTGTATTGGGTTATAGCTGATTAACAATGTTGTGATAGTTTCACGTGAATAGGGAAGGGACTCAGCCATACATATATGTGTATACATTCTCCCCCAAACTATTTAAACTCCTAAAAGAAGATAACTTTTGTCTTGTTTCACTTAAAATGTGTTTATGAGATCCATCCATGGTGTTGCATATTGTGGTCTATTTATTCTCATTGCTGTAGGAATAGACCATAATTTTTTAACCATCTTTCTCTTGACAATTAAGTTGTTTGCTGTTGGGCTATTACAAATAGTGCTCCTATGAACATTGCTGTATATCTTTTTCCAAATATCTGTGTACATTTCTAAGTGAAATGTCTAAATCATTGGAATGTCTAAATTTAGCTTTAGGAGATCACCAAGAGACTTTTCCCGAGTTCTTTTATACTCACAGTCATAGGGTGTGAGAGTTCCAGTTGCTTCATATCTTGCCAGTGTTTGTTGTTTTCCATTTTCTTTTATTTTTCCTTTTCTGTTAAGCACATAGTGGTATCTTACTGTGGTTTTGATATTCATTTCTCAAAAGTGTAAGGAAGTTGAAGGCCAATTTATACATTTGTAGGCCACTTGAATTTTTCTTTCATGAAGTCCTTGTTCAAAACATTTGCCTATTGGGTAGTCTGGGTTTTTTCTCTTTTTTTCCTGTGTTCAATTTGCCCATCCATTATACTACTCCTCTCTTATGTTCTTCTTTTGGTTTACTACAAACTCTCCTTCCTCTCTAACTATAAATACCCAGAAGACAGAGCCAGAGTGTTCTCATCTCAGCATCACCCTCAGAGCCTGGCAATCAGTTTCCTTTAAAGCACTAGCTCAAAAATATTGAATAGGATTAGGAGATTCTCATTATCTTCTAAATTAGCCCAAGGCTCTAGTCCCTGTGGTTCTACTTGGCCTCTAAACATGCTAAGAATTTCTCCTCTAGGATAGCTGTAGCAAAACCGATATCAGCTCTTTGTGTAGAGACAGCCTAGAGGATGTGTTTTAAGTACTAGGAGTCAGAATTAATTCCTCTTAGGGTTGATGATGACTATCTGAGACTCTTGAGAATATAAGGAAACTCTAAAAAAGGTTAAATGATCTTTTTTAATCCTGAAAAGAATTTCTCTGGTATGTGATATTGTTCTATGATTTCTTACATCTTATGTCGTTAGGTTTCTTCTCTTCCATTTAAACTTTCATTTCATTTGAAAATGTCTCTGTTGCCTTCCTCCAATTTTCAATCTATGGTCCAAACTATCTTATTGTCTCTTCTAAAAGTTGCCACATTGCCTCCCTTCACATTCATTCTTTTTACGTTATAGGTTTTCCAATTCTATGTGCTCTCTCCTATGATCTTTAGCTAATCTAATTTAATCTCCTTGTCATTTCCTGGTTGTTAATATCCTGGAAATAGTTAGGATAAGTAAATATCTATTTTGCCTGATGGAAATAATCCTAGTGTAAATAATTTTAAAATGACCCATTTAATTTTAGCATGTGAATTTTAATAGAATGTAACCACATAAATAAACATCCATATTTCTCAATGTATAAAAACAATAAAAATGTTAATTCTGTGGATTACAGCCTTAAAATTATATTCTGTGCTGAGCTATATAACATACGACTATGGATATAGTAGATATTTTCTGCACCTATAATAACCCCCATGAAGGTACTTATCAGTGGTTATTTTCTCACAGATTTTTATTTTTTTAATTCTTTCCAAAAAGGAAAATTCAAAGGCAACGTGATTGATGTTTCAGGTTTTCCCAGCAGTTGTCAACCCTGGGTGTGTGTCACAAGTACTGGGGAGTGTCTAAAAACTAATGATATCTGGGCTCTACCCCAGACCAATTCATTCAGAATTTCTGGAGTAGATCCCATTCACCTGGATGTTTTAGAGACTCCCAGGGAAATTGAACATGCAACCAAAATTGAGAACTGCCAAGTCTGTGGCCAAGAATAACAATAAGTAAAAAAATGTTGAAAAGTTAATGCAAAGTACTACATTGAAGTTTGTAATTATATCCTCAGAGACGGGTGAGAGTCCTTTCTTTGGCCCAGTGCTGGATTTCTGCTTGTCCAAATGTGAGGTAAAAAACCAGGCCAAACATGTTGACAGCAGCAGCTAGGAAAAATACATTCCTCCAACCAGACACAGAATCCTGGAGGCAAAAAAAAAAAAACCCAAAACCCAAAAATCAGAATTATCAATCTCAGAGTTGCTTCTCCATCAGTTCTAGAAAGACTCCATTTTGTATATTGCAACACTGATCATAAGAATCTAGGGAATGATATGCAATAACCACTTAACACCTTGAATTCTCAAAGAGGATGCTAAAAAGCACATTGGGTTCTGACTTGGAATGCATTTTTCTTTAAGCCCCCCTAAATCAATCTATACTAATATTTTTATGGAAATTTGGATCTAGAGTCTTGAAAATATTATATTACTCATTTAAATTATGCCTAAAATAACAGCTTGAAGATCATCACTCTTCTGTTTTTGGCTATTGACATCAATCGCCATAACCCCCTGAATAGACACCTCTATATGATGTGAGTCATATTTGGTCTGACTGTGTGTGTCTCCTCTTGAAACCCTTATAAGTCATAGTTTATTTCTGGCATTATAGTCACAGTGGATTCCTAGCAATTTGGTCAAAAATTAACCTGAAAATAGGTCACCTAGAGATGTATTAAAATGATTTTTTTTGTTTTTGATAAATTGACTCATCACTGTCCTGCCATCCCAGCCTGGTTCTGCCTTTCCATCTTCCCTACCAACCCACACTTGGTACTGAGCAAGCCTCATGGCCCATCCTCCCTGCTTTGTCTCACAGCCATTCGTTTCACCCATGATTTAAATTCTCTTTAAGCTGGTCTTGGGACCCTTTGTGTTTCCATTTAATAATTATTTTAGAAATTGGGATTAATATGAACAGACTCTTCATAACTTTCCCCTTTCGCTCCTGTGACTTCATCTCTTATCCTTGACATGTATCATTCACTCTAGTCATAAGAGCTGTTTCATTCTTTTTTTCCTCCAGGAAGTCATATGTGCTATTTTCTCTGCCCGAACTGCTCATTTTCATCAATCTAACATCTATTCATTTTTTAGAAATTCAGCTTATACTTCTCTTTCCCTGGGAAATCTGACTTACCAGTGTCTGACTTAGAGTCCCCTATAAACAGAATAATTGTGTTGATATCCATGTTGATTTTCCCCATCAGATCACATAGTCCTTGAGAACAGGGGCCCAGCTGTGAATCCCCAGTGCCTAAAACAATACCTGCCACTTGCAGATGTTCAATAAACTGGCCCAACCTGACTGATAAGGAATCCAGTGGCAGTGGAAGAGATGATTCCTGCAATGAGCCCAAATCCCCTTGAGATTCCCATGAGGAAACTTGCATATCTGTGGAGAGATGATTTTATAGATGATTTTATATAGAAAGCTGCCTATGTCTTTTCAGTAACTCAACACTAATGCAGTTCAGCTCTAATAGCAAAGTCCTTTAGACTACTGCAGATTTTTTTGTTCACTTCAACACAGCTCAGGCAATATCAGTTTGCAAATCCTGAAATCACTTATCTACCAACTCAACATCCAACTCTTTAGGACCCCATGGACTATAGCCCGCCAGGCTCCTCTACTATGGGATTTCCCAGGCAAGAATACTACAGTGGGTTGCTATTTCCTACTCCAGGGGTTCTTCCCAAGCCCGGGATCGAACCCGTGTCTCCTGCATTTCCTGCATTGGCGGGGAAATTCTTTACCACTGCACCACCTGGGTAGCCACAACACCAACTCTACAACTAGGAAACGATTCTATCTCCCAGGAGCCCAGGTTCCCACCCCAGTGTCTTAGTATGGCAGGCAGTTAGAGCTTTGGATGAGATAACAGACTCTGGAGAGATGGCTCGGGTCCAAATCCTGACTCTGCCTTTGCATAACCTCAGGCATGTCACTTAACTTTCTTGTGCCTCTATCATCTATCTCTCTTATAAAGTGAAGATACCAATAAGGCATGTCATTGTGCAGATCAGATGTGTTGATATATGAAAGTGAAAGTCACTCAGTTTTGTCAGAGTCTTCGTGACCCCATGGACTATACAGTCCATGGAATTCTCCAGGCCAAAATACTGGAGTGGGTAGCCCTTCCCTTTTCCAGGGGATCTTCCCAACCCAGGGATTGAACACAGGTCTCCCACATTGTGGATGGATTCTTTACCAGCTGAGCCACAAGGGAAGTCCAAGAATACTGGAGTGGGTAGCCTATTCCTTCTCCAGTGGATCTTCCTGACCCAGGAATTGAACAGGGGTCTCCTGCATTGCAGGCAGATTCTTTACCAACTGAGCTATCAGAGGGGTTGATGTGTGAGAAGTCCTTTAAATAGGGGTTGGCTCATGGCAAGCATATATATATATATATATATATATATGGTAGCTAATATCATCAACACTAAGGAAGCTTTTCCAAAATACATATGTGTGGGTCTTTTCCTAGAACACACAGTCCAGTCTCAAGTGGGGAAGCTAGGGAAGTTTTTCACCTAAATGTTATCAGCCAAGATTGGGCACCATTGTTCTAAAAATGCCTTAAGTCATGGCCATATACTGACATTTCTCGCTATTTGTTAGTACTCTGCCATCAATTTTTGCATGTCAACAACAAGAAGGAGTTACAAAAAGACCGAGACTAAAAAAAAAAGACCGAGTCTAAACCTCCAGAAAGGCCTGGGGAAGGGGACAAACAGGTAAAGATCTTACCGGGGGGCAACATCTAAGGTGTTGATGATGAATCCAGAATCACACAGGTTGCTGGTCCCAGGAATAAGTATCAGCAAAACAATGGTTGTTGTATAACTGGAAGCCACAAAAGGGAGGGCCACAGCACATAGTGATGGAAGGAGGAGCCCTGGGCAATGGGGAAACACTGTCAAGAACATCTGACCATGTGTGGAAAAGGGATTTGTTAACTGCGTTTTGCCTAGACTTACCCAAGGATGAAAAGAGTTTTCGGACAGTGATTAATCTAAGAAGATTCCTGGACAGGAGGAAATCTGCCAATTGACCTCCAAGAATTGTACAACTTGCAGCAGCAATAAAAGGCAGGGAGGACAAAACACCACTCTGAAGGAGGGAAATATATAGAGTGAGTAGTTACAGAGGTACATATGGCACCAGATTTTATTAGTGACACAGACCAACCATTAGCCCACCCTCCTGACACTCTGAGTTGTTTTAAAGAAATTGGCATCATTTTCTATAAGAAGAACACTGTCTCAGGTAAGACGGCCAGCACTTGCATTATACTGGTCTCCAGAGAAGAGCACAATTCATTTCTAAAGGAAATTGAAGCATCAGCTAGCATGGCAACATTGCATAGTGGTTAAGAACACAGATACTGTAGTAGCTCAACCACTGAATAATTGTGTAATCCAGGGAAGTCTTCCCTCTCTACATGCCCTTATTTATACACCTGTGCATGGGAATCATTACAAAACTTCTCAATCATTGTGAGGGTTAAAAGAGTGATTATATGCAAAGCCAAAGTATAGTAGAACTGTTTCTCCTTTTACCATTAATATGTTCATAAAAGTACAGGAAGCATACTCACGTCTCTGATGTTGACACGGAGCACAGAACTGATATACGTTGGTAGGTATGTTATGATTATGGTGCATAACCAGAAATGGCTGAAAAACCCCGTGAAAATGGCCCAAAGTGGTAGGCATCTGACCATAGACTTTATGGGGACAGATCGTCTAGGAGAACTGGACTGAAAGGAAACATCTAATCAGTATGGGTATTAGAACAGGTCAGAGTGTGCCTCTCCTGAGAGCCCCACACCCTACCCTGGAGGTCTCTGCATGGTCCACAAGTAGAAGGGTTGCACAGTACCTGTTGAGTCAGTGAAGACACGATGTGTTCCTTTTCTCTGATGCTTATGCATGGGTGATGCAAGGGGTCATCATAAATCACTGTGAACCACAGGAGACAGCAGACACAGCCAATGCTACCTGGGAAGCAGGGACCCAGTTAGTTTTCAGGTAGATTTGTGAGCTGGGGGAAGGGAGTTTCCTCTGAAGTAGCATATCTCCCCCCAAAACACACATGTTAATTCATGGTTGTTTCACCATAAGGACCTAAATTTTACCATTTTTCATTTCAACCCACCTACAAATCTCCTTTTGACTAAATGTAGAATGCCATTTGACAATGTCAGAGCCCTCTGGAGGAAGCAGGAGCATGACATACCTTTGCATAGCTGATTAATTACTCTTCAGACTCTAGTGGATGCATAAAATTGGTGTGGCAAGGAAAAATTTCCAACACATTTGCAAAAGATAGTGTTATCATATTCAAATGATATATCCATTATGGATTTCCAGAAAAATATTTCTTAACAGTACCTGATTAACATGTGTGGACCAAAATTACTTGGGAGTAGCATCATTAATGAGAAAGCCATCCTAGCCAGAACCATATTGAATGATACCGATTAGTTAAAACAAAAAGATAGAAACTTGTCTCATTGCTGAGATTTGTCATCTGAAAAGATTCTATTTTAAAGACTCTGTGGATTAATGTTCTTTAAATTCCCTCTAATTACTGGATTTATCCATTCTTTTATTTGTAAAGCTATAGGTTGGGCACTGTGATAGTACCAAAGTGATGAAAAAATTATGGAATAGATTTCTTGCCTTAATCATGTCACTGACTAGTGGAGAGGAAAAAGGGGAAATAAATAATGACATGTCAACACAGCCTAGAAAAGAAATTATCAGTAACCATCACAGAGGACAGAAAGACTTAATCTGATGGGATAAGACTTGGAAATCCCCATATGGAAGGGGACATTTAATTTGAACTTTGCAAGATTCACCCGGTAGAGAATAGGTTAAGGGTACCTTGGCAGAAATAATAATTATAGCAAAATATGAAGACAAATTGAAAATGTGCTTTAACAGCTTTGACATCTTAACTACATGTGGCAATTAAACATGGCAATTCAGATGTGGTGGCAGAGATTCTAAGAAGCCTGGGGTGAGTGTGTAAGGTTGCACTCTTGACTTCTCAGAAGTTAGCACCATAAAGATGCATTTTCTCTCAAATGGGAAGAATATGGATCATGGGTGCTGTAAGCATGAAAACAAATGCCTGGGAAGTGGAGATGTTAGGATTTAAGAGAAAGTGACTCACCAAAAATGTAGAAGATAAAAGGCCAGCCCAAGGCCTGGGAGATTAGTCCCCCCACACAGAGAATGATGAAGGACCCAAACGCTGACCCTGAAGAGAAAAGAGATTTAAAAAAAAAAAAAAAAAAACTGAGGAAAATAGCAATGGTTGAATGACTTCCCTAGGTGTTATTCCAACAGTGAGGTGGCAGATTTAGGATTACTGGGTAATGAGAGACTTTATTCCAGTTCACAGATCTCCACCAGTAAAGTCATGGAAAATAATTAGAATTAATAAATCATAGTGAGATGCCACCTGATGCTTCAGTGGCTCCTTTAACACAAACGTGACCAAATCCAAATCCATTTGTCATAGAAACTGTCTGTAAACAAAGCCCACAATATTTCTTTATAATTAGAGTTACATTTTGGTGAGGGCAATATGAGATTGGCAACAGAAAAGGAAAGTCTTACAAAAACTAATAAGATAAAGTCCTTGACCTCAAGCAGATTTCAGCCCAGTGAACATGAACAAAATTCACTATTAAAGTGTAATACACTGTAGATCTTTGAGTCTGAACATATTTTTCAGAGACTCACAATAAGAAATGTATTTTACATGGCAACACAGTATATACACAAATACAAATACACACACGTCAAACAAAAGTTTCATGAATCAATACTTCGCCTTACCATGTACAATTCACTCCAAAATTTTCTACTTTATTCTATTCATTTTTATTTTAAAACACTGGTTTTTGACCTATTAAATTGATTTTATGACCCCTTCAATGGGTCCCAATATGAAATTTTGGGGAAAAAATGTGAAATACAAATATGATAGTAAAACTAATTTTCTGTGAAAGTATGAGGAGAAACACGAGGAGAAAATTAAAATTGATGATAAAATCAAAAATTGTTTACACATCCTAAGCAGTAGGGTGGATGGAATTTTTGTAGAAAAAGAGAGACTTTAAGTGCACTTAGTATGTAGTGTGACCTGAGCCTTGCTTACAGAGGAATATTGAGTGGGAAGGCAGGAGGAGACCATATGGTAAAGCATCTTTCAGGTCAGTTCAGTCTCTCAGTCTTATCTGACTCTTTGCGACCCCATGAACCGCAGCACTTTATATCCGTGTAATAAGATCTTTATCTGTAAGATGGAGGAATACATTGAAGATTCCCAGGCAAATTAGCAAAAATGCCCCATCTATGCTTTAAGGAGACAACTTGGCTTGATGGAAAGGGAGGTTTGAAGGAAACAAAGAGGAGAAAGACCAACTAGGAATATTCACAGTTAGAAGAGATGATAACTACACTGGAAGGAGCCAGAATGCAGGAGGGTTGTTTCTGTAGTAAAAATCTGCAGCCACTCATGGGACCAGGAGTGAAAGGCTTTATGACCCTCAGTTCTATTTTTCAAGTATAAAGCAAAGAGGAATGAAGAAGTTAGTCCTTAGTATGATTATACACTCAGAAGGGCAGCGTAGCATGGTGATCCAGAGTGTGCACTCTGGGACCAAACTGCCAGGGCTTAAACCTCAATTTTACCATCTGCTGGCTATTTGCCTCTGGGAAATTTAGTTAATCTTTGCATACTTTAATTCCCTCCTGTGTAAAATGAGAGTTTAAAATAATCATCAAAGGGTTGTTGTGACTATTGGCTTAGAAAAGTAAAGAGCTCAGAAAACTGCACTCTTTAAACTTTACTTTCTAGCCTGATTTATCTCTTTACCACTGATAGTCTTAATTCTCATTTGCATATCTTTACTAACATGGTGTTTATACAGTTTACTTGATTTTTTCCACTTATGCAAACTCTTAAAGTTCTAAACTTTTCCTTACAATGCTTTTCTGACTGACCTCACAATGCTCACAATGGTCTTTTCTGTTTGAAGTCTTAGTGACTTTACAGGACAGGTATATTTATCTTATTTGTTGTGTGACTGTCTTACATTGTTGAATTTTTTTTGAAGCACTTTTCTCCCTGTCCCCCAAACCAGCCAGGCATAGAAGGAAAGAAGTGATAGGGTGAAGCAGATTACAAAGTTGTGATCCATACAAGCATTCTTACCTGATCCCGCAATACTGGTGAGCTTGCTTCGTTCAAGTGGGGGAGCCCATTTTGCCCATATTGTGAACTGACCTGTCCATGCCATACCCTGAAATGACAATTAGTAAGACTTGATCTCCAGTAGAATTCAGGAACCTGTATCCCACACAGAATGAGAAAGTAACTGGTTACCTGAGCCATGCCCTGGACTGTCCGAATCACAATAACCAGAATCACTCCAAAGTCAGCAGCCAATGGTGTAAAGAGGGTGAGAAGGGAGGAGATCAGCAAACCAGCACCAAGCATCTGTTTTGCTCCAAATATCCCTGCTAAATAGCCGCTTGGGATCAGAGTTAGTATTATCCCGTAGTTGATGGAGCTAAAGATGATACCCTGAGTTTCTGGACTCCATTCATATACAGAGACCTGGGGTGGGGGTTGGGGGGAAGGAAAATTCTTTACTAAGAATTTATTTTATAAAAAATCTAATTTATAGCCAGAGCTGCTTGTGCTCAGTTGTGTCCGACTCTTTGTGACCCCATGGACTGTAGCATACCAGTCCCCTTTGTCCATGGGATTTCCCAGGCAAGAATACTGGAGCAGTTGCCATTTCCTACTCCAGGGGATCTTCCTGACCCAGGGATCAAATCTGTGTCTCTTTTGCCTTCTGCAATGGCAGACAGATTCTTTACCACTGTGCCACCTGGATTCTGGCCCTCTTATATAATATTAATTTTGGTTTTTCTCCATTTTTTACTAAACTTAAATATCCAACTTTTCCAAACAACCCATTATATTCCTAAATTGATTATCTTAGATGGAGACAAAATAGAGTAAATGAAGAGGAAAAGTGATAAAGAAATGATTATATAGGTAGTTGATAGGAAGATGTAAATAAAATACAGTGAAAGATCTCCTTTGGTTCTATTTTGGAACTATTTTGGTTCTAGTAAGTAATTCGGGTGACACACTTTCAAAAAATTTCAAAACACATCTTTACTGAATGCTTATCAAAATCAGTCCCTAAAATCAAATTTAAAAATCATGGTCTATCCTAGCAGAACTGACTTCCTAAAACACATATTACACATTAATAAGACCACATTTCTCTTCTGATACAACCCAATGAATAATTTTTTTGTAGCCACTAGATACATGGCACCATGGTATACATTGAAGAGCTCCAGAATGTAAAATACAAAATATAAAAGAACTACAAATAAAGCAAGATACATGATTCATGTCTGAATTCAAGCTTGAGGATGAACTGCAGTAAAGTAGGGACTTTGAGAAGAGGGAAGAAAAATTTGGGAAGGTCCCAGGAAGGAAGAAGTACTTGAATCATTCTTTGTAGAATGACTATGATTTGTATAAACAGAAATAGGAAAACTCATTGTCATCGAAGAAATACAGCAAAAGTGAACTTGTAGCATTTGGAATGATATGCAATGATTAGAAACTAACCAGGATTCTGACTTGCTCAGAGCAAAGACTGTTCCTGAGCCACTGACAGCAGATATGAGTGTCCTGAGAAGTGGGCCAGGTTCTGGAGAAGTGTAGCATTTCAAGAGAGGAGTTGGCAACTTGAAGGTATCCTGGATTCTTACACACAGGAGTGTGAATGTGTAGAATGAATAATGGAAGAAAGATTTGAGGCAGAGAGGTCATTATAAATAAGCTGGCTCCAAGGTAACAAAATCATAAAATTAGAGGATGATTTTACTGTACATTTAGAAATGTACAGTAAATGATAGTTTAAAGGAAAACATTTAAATGGGGTATAATACCAATAGACTGGTTCCAAATAGGAAAAGGAGTATGTCAAGGCTGTATATTGTCACCCTGCTTATTTAACTTATATGCAGAGTACATCATGAGAAACACTGGGCTGGAAGAATCACAAGCTGGAATCAAGATTGCCGGGAGAAATATCAATAACCTCAGATATGCAGATGACACCACNGGACATGAGTTTGGGTAAACTGCGGGAGTTGGTGATGGACAGGGAGGCCTGGCGTGCTGCGATTCATGGGGTCGTGAAGAGTCGGACACGACTGAGCAACTGAACTGACTGACTGAATGATTGATCTCATAAATATAAGATGAACAGGTGATATTTTATTTAACTCATTGGCTAATGAAGGAATTGGTAAGATGATACAACTGGTCCAAAGGAGAATTCAAGGAACCACATACTTATAAGCAGGAAGTAATGCTGAAATAGATGTTAAATATATGGCAAAACTAACTTATCCAACTGAAGGGCATGTGGAGGAGAGTATCAATTGATTTTCCACAAGACAAAATTCATTTTCAGAGCTATGGGCAAGAATCATTTTATTACTGTTAATATACAGAACTTAGAGTTGTAAAATGGCTCACAGATAATAAAAGGTACAGAAAACTGCTTAGAATCAGGCAGAAAGGTGTATTGAGACAGTGCCTAGTTTTTCATTGGAGATATCCAGTAATCTGTTCCTTTCTAGAAGCATCCACAACTTTTTCCAATAGTCACACCCACAACCTTGTAATCATAATCATCTCAGTGAAAGACTAATCACAGAGGTAAGCAATATCTCAGAGAACAATAATTCCAGACATTTTTAGTTTGTTATTGATAATTCATGTTCTATACACCACAGAATCAAGATCCAAGTCCTTTTTTCAAATTGGGTTTTCCCCTCTCAACAAAGAGCCTTGTTCTCCACTATACTTACTTCTGCTGTATTAAATTCCTTGATGGATCTGTTGGAGTGGTTGAAGGTGAATGCAAGAGGTCTTTCTGTGGAGGTATTGAATAAACCAGGCTGCTGAGTGCTATTCACCATGGCAATGATTGCAATGCTCAGACTCACACGCTGGGTTATCATGGTGAAGTTTGAGAAATGCATGATGAGAGCCAGTCCGTAGCGTAATGAACAGAATTCAGGACCTAGAGAATAACGCAGATATCTGCAGTGAGTGCCTTTTTCCACTTCTCCCACTGCTAAATCTGAGAAAACTACAGATGATATTATGCAGTCTCACCATTTTTTCTTACTCAAATAACCACGACTACAACCCTCCTTTGACACAATCTTTAGTTGATTTCAAGATAATAAATCAGAGATGTTACAATCAAGTAAGATCCTTTTTCAGAGGATTCTTACAATCAAGTAAGGCCTTCTTCAGAGGTGTGGGTAGCACATGAAAATACAGGACAAACTAAATGAAGGTATTTATGCCACAGTGTTCCAAAATAAAGTGAATGGGGAAGATAAGGAAGAGTCAGTCACAGAACCTGGGTTTCCCAGCCTCAAGTCTGGGATCTCATCCATTTTGTATATTCGTTTACCATAAAGCTTGAAAGTTTATACATAGAGAGCTACTTTGAATTAAACAAATCATATACCCAAGGGTTCTCTTTTAAAATACCTGAGAGATAGTGCATAAATGAGCACATCCACTAACTCCTCAGTGTAATTTTCACTTGGAAATATTTTTGATGTATGTCACTAAACTCTGCCTTCACATATACTCAGCTTTAAAAAAGCTAACATGGGGAACCATTTTTACTGTTTGTAGGTGATATGGTACTGGACAAGTTGTCCTATTATAAGAGCAACACATTTTTAAAGTCTCCACATAGTAGAACAATGGGCCAATATTGAAAGGATTTCCACATGAATGAAAGATTAAAATTTTTCTCTGCATACTTGGGAAACTGGAACTAAAGAGAAATAGAAAGAGAACTTGTGAAGAAACAGATACAATATTCTAGAAGAAAGCATTTTTAATGGCCAAATAGGCTCAGGGATAGAATGGGTTGCCTGCAAAAGAATTATTTCCCTATTAATGGCGGTTTCCACACTCAGAGGAAATAGCTCCTGGGCAAAGATGTTACAACAGGAATTCATACATGGGTGAGGGGGTTTGTTTAAAATGACCTTTTCAGGCCTCATTTCATTTCTTATGTCCAAGGATTTATTGATCATTTGACCTAATATCTCATAGATAATTCAGTGCTCCCTAAGGAAAAAGCAGTAGGTAATAGGATGAGAGGCTGGAGCTGGTCCCATATTACACTGAGACAGTCTTCACAGTAAGGAGGCTTGATGGAAAAAGGAGGAGAAAGGAGAGCAAAGTTGAGTGAAGAACACTGGAAATAAGCTTCTACTGTTCCATAAGTAGGCTGAGAATAAGAGATGTGGCTTTACTTTTCCTGGTGGAAGGCTTCTCATCCATTTGGCTCCTCTGGGAAATGGTACCACACTTTGTGGTGGAGATTTCCTCTGCCCTGAGTCTCTTTTACCACGACAGGCTTTTATCTATAGGGAAGAACAACAATGCAAAACAAGACACACAAACAATTTTTTCATGTTAATGCTGCCTTCTCCCAGCATCAGTGAAAATTGTGATCCAACACAGCTGTATGATTTACATTTTGCAGTACACTTTCTTATTGTCATGCTTACAGAGGACTTGATTTTTATAAGAAAATCTGACTGTGAGTTCCGGCTAAATGATTTAGAGCTAGTCATTTAAATTCTCTAATTAGCCATTTCCTGTCCAATAAAAATGTCTCATTTCTGAGTGGTGCTGCAAGAATTGAATGAGAAAATTGCAAACCACAGAGAACCATGCAAAGGTAAGCAGTATGATGGCTTGAGGCAGGTCAGAAGACATGAAAGCTAAATTGAGCTCAAGAGCTGGAGTAGGAAAGTTCCAGCTGACCACATTTCTGTTCTTTCTGCACAAACAGAACAACATTCACTCAAAGGTGTCTTCTTTGAACATGAACAATGACACTGTGTAACAGATATACATTACTGTAATATGTAACACCTTAAATGCTTATTCTTATCTTTGCTAACATAGTTGGGACACTTTGCTGGGCTGAAAAGTTCTTCAAGTCACCTGTAAAATCATATTGAATGAGGGCTTTCTACTACAATTACAAATAAATTCAGCTATTTAACAGGCAAAGAGAATTCATGACTTCAAATTGGACACATTTAATTTGATATTTATACACTGATCTTCAGGGGATTCATACATTTATTTCTTTTCCATACAATTCTTATTCTAAGAACATTATCAGTCTTGCAGCCTTTCCTAAACTGAAGCATCCATGACCTCACAAACACATGTATCATACTTACATTGCATCATTCAAAGCTTTACATTCTTTCTGCACATAAATTTAATAAGACTTATCTGCACCCTTAAGAATATTATCTATGCTCATAGGATGAAAAATGATAATAAAAGAGACAGATGAAGAATTTTGTCCAAAAACATTATTTGTAGTATTAATTATTACAGCATAATGTTGGAGACAAATTAACTTAAGCGTAAGAGTTTATGAATCAACTTTAATAGATTCTTGTACTGGACTTATTTGTTTTCGAACATATTGCATAACATTAAGGAAATGCCTCTACTCTAGTGTACAAAGCAGGCATTATGCCTGTGTTGATACATGCACACCCAAAAAGAGAGAAACAGATTTACACAAATGACAGCAATGGCCTTTTCAGGGTTACAGAACACACCATGGTCATGTTATGATTTTCCATATTTACCAACTGGTTTTTCAAACAATTCAGTTCAGTTCAGTTGTGTCTGAGTCTTTGCAACCCCATGGATTGCAGCATGCCAGGCCTCCCTGTCCATCACCACCTCCTGGAGCTTACTCAAACTCATGTCCATTGAGTTGGTGAGACCATCCAATCATCTCATCCTCTGTTGTCCCCTTCTCCTCCTGCCTTCAATCTCTCCCAGCATCACGATCTTTTCCAATGAGTCAGTTCCTTGCATCAGGTGCCCAAAGTATTGGAGTTTCAGCCTCAGCATCAGTCCTTCCAATGAATATTCAGGACTGATTTTCTTTAGAATGGATTGGTTGGATCTCCTTGCAGTTCAAGGGGCTCTCAAGAGTATTCTCCAACATCACAGTTCAAAAGCAGCAATTTTTGGCACTCAGCTTTCTTTATAGTGCAACTCTCACATCCATACGTGACTATTGGAAAAACCATAGCTTTGACTAGACGGACATTTGTCAGCCAAGTAACCTCTCTGCTTTTTAATATGCTGTCTAGGTTTGTCATAGCCTTTCTTCCAAGAAGCAAGCATCTTTTAATTTCATGGCTGCAGTCACCATCTGCAGTGATTTTGGAGCCCCCAAAAGTAAAGTCTGTCACTGTTTCCACTGTTTCCCCATCTATTTGCCATGAAGTGATGGGACTGGATGCCATGATCTTAGTTTTTTGAATGTTGACTTTAAAGCCAGCTTTTTCACTCTCCTCTTTCATCAAGAGGCTCTTTAATTCCTCTTTGTTTGCTGCCATAAGGGTGGTGTCATCTGCATATCTGAGGCTACTGATATTTCTCAGTAGCAATCTTGATTCCAGCTTGTTCTTCACCCAGCCCAGCATTTTGCACGATATACTCTGCATATAAGTTAAATAAACAGGGTGACAATATACAGCCTTGACGTACTCCTTTCCCAATTTGGAACCAGTCCGTTGCTCCATATCTAGTTCTAACTGTTGCTTCTTTACCTGCATACAGATTTCTCAGGAGGCTAGTAAGGTGTTCTGGTATTCCCATCTCTTTAAGAATGTTCCAGTTTATTGTGATCCACACAGTCAAGGACTTTAGCGTAGTCAATAAAGCAAAAGTAGATACTTTAACGGAACTCTCTTGCTTTTTCAGTGATCCAATGGATGTTGGCAATTTGATCTCTGGTTCCTCTGCCTTTTCCAAAACCAGCTTGAACATCTGGAAGTTCACGGTTCATGTATTGTTAAGCCTGGCTTGGAGAATTTTGAGCATTACTTTACTAACATGTGCGATAAGTACAATTGTGCGGTAGTTTGAGGAATCTTTGGCATTACCTTTCTTTGGGATTGGAATGAAAACTGATCTTTTCTAGTCCTATGGCCACTGTGGAGTTTTCCAAACTGTACTGGCATGTTGAGTGCAGCACTTTCACAGCATCATAGTTTAGGATTTGAAATAGCTCAACTGGAATTCCGTCACCTCCACTAGCTTTGTTCATAGTGATGCTTCCTAAGGCCCACTTGACTTCACAGTCCAGGATGTCTGGCTCTAGGTGAGTGATCACACCATCATGATTATCTGGATCATGAAGATCTTTTTTGTGTAGTTCTTCTGTGTATTCTTGTCACCTCTTCTTAATATCTTCTGCTTCTGTTAGGCCTGTACTGTTTCTGTCCTTTATTGAGCCCATCTTTGCATGAAATGTTCCCTTGGTATCTCTAATTTTCTTGAAAAGTCTCTAACCTTTCCATTCAGTTGTTTTCCTCTATTTCTTTGAATTGATCATAAGGAAGGTTTTCTTATCTCTCCTTGCTATTCTTTGGAACTTTACATTCAGATGGGTATATCTTTCCTTTTCTCCTTTGCCTTTCGCTTCTCTCCTTTTCACAACTATTTGTAAGGCCTCCTCAGACAACCATTTTGCCTTTTTGAATTTCTTTTTCTTGGAGATGGTCTTGATCATTGCCTCCTGTACAATGTCACGAACTTCTGTCCATAGTTTTTTAGGCACTCTGTCTATTACATTTAATTCCTTGAATCTATCTGTCTTTTCCACTGTATAATCATAAGGGATTTGATTATAAGCAATTAGTAGTTACTTATTTTACACTCAGAAAAAGCTAAGGTGTCTTTGAAAGAACAATGATGAGGCTTCATACAGCATAGTCAAGATAGTTTTCTGCTTGCTAAATGTCTCTAAAATTCTGAGAACGAGATCACTCCATTTAAGTTTTAAAATTTTCTTTTTCTATTATAAGAGACAAAATAGATGGCCAGTTGCTAACAAGAGAACATCGGTACCAGAAAATATGTTGGCTTTTGCTCTGTTTTGGAAGGCTTTCCAGTTCTACTAACATCTGGATGACATCAGGAATTCAGTTCAGGACTCAACACTCAGATCCCAGATGAAGAAACTGGAGTGGCCACCTGATTGACCTGGAGTTTGGACTACTTTCTATTTGATCTATCTTGTTATGTAAGAGTCCAAGACTTGGCTGAAGGCAACTTTTTAACTGTATGTGCAACTACAAGTACTTATACTCAAAGTTTTCTCATCAACCACTCCAACCAGTCTTATAAACATAGAACTCTAGAGCTGAAAGAGATTCAGTCTCTAACCCAAATGTTTGTTTTATTTTTAATAAGAAGACTGATGTATAGAAAGTTTGAAACATTGCTTCAAGTCACAGAGTTTACTGAGTCAGTACCAGGTCTCCTGATGCCCAGACTGGTGCTTTTTTCTACCTGTTAGTACAACTTCCTCTTTATGTTCACATTTTAAGTACAAGTTTAAAATGCAATAGGGTAGTTTCATTGTAAGGCATTCTAGGCAGAAATTTATATAATTTTAAGTTGTTTTTTAAATTGAAATATAGTTGATTTACAATATTATAATAGTTTCAGGTGTATAGCACAGGGATTCAGTACTTTTGCAGATTATCCTCCATTCTAGGTTATTACAAGATAATGGCTATAATTCCCTGTGCTCTACAGTATATCCTTCTTGCTTGTCTATGATTTTAAATTAAGTTTTAATCATTTATTCCAGAAGGAAATTTGCTGATGGAAATACTTTCAGGTTGAGCTTCAAATATTTAAAGAAATAAAGAAGACTCCTCTTTCTTGCTTTTTTGGTTAGTGAAATTATAACACAAACCTATGACTTTAGTTGTCCTTCCCTTCCATCTGCTGCCATCCCTACCTTAGCTTTCATGGTGTCAAATGCTATTTTAAATTTTGCCTCAACAGTTAACTTCTGTTGTTAATTTCTCTGCTTCCTGGTATAGAGACAAATACAGAAATCAGGCAGACATCCCAAACCATTCTAAATGAGGATCCTTCTGTGACATGGTAATGGAACCTATTTTTCTAAAATAATCACAGAAGCAAATAAAAGTATGGGATCTGTGAATTAGCATAACTGATATCACTTAAAGACAGTGGAATGATTTTTAGCCTAATCATAAACATTGTCAAGTGTCTTCCTACTTACGAGTGACATTTCTAAGAAATAGTGACTCCTACTGTTAAAATTGCAAATAGACATAGAAAAATTGGATTAAAATTAAGTTAAAGGAAAATTCTATACTTTAAAAATAACTTCATAACACAAAACAGAGTTGTATCTGGTATAAAATTAATAATATAGATGATTTAGGCATCAGCAAAAGATAAGATTTTTTTCTTCGCTTATTGGGAGTCTAGAACTCACTATTTTATTATCATTTTGTGTCTATTTTGTTTCTATTGCTGTTAGATTCCCCTTAATATTGAGCCTGTCTTGCATCATCTCTATTAGCTGAGTCCCCTAGTTTACTCAGAGTAAATGTTATATGTGGTTGAAAGAGCAGGAACCTGCAGTTCAAAGGGTATCCAAGGACCAAGTTTTTCTCTTGTCATTCAGTCTTGAGTAAACCAGAGCAGATTTTACAAGATCCCAGAACTTTCACTGTTTCATAGGAAAAATGGGGATAATGTTACTTCATTGAACTGTTGAGAATGAAAACAAAAGAATGAGACATGCCTTCTCAATGTAAAATATTATGCACTGCAAAATGTTATTGATATTAACAACAGGAATATTAGCAGTCACAAAATTGGCACTTGTGCCCTCTCTGATTAATAAATACAGGTTTATAGTAAATGAAATATCTTTCCATAAAAATGCTTTTGATTGATTGCTAAATTGGCTTTAAATGCTTCCTTTTAGAACTGGGTTCTTCTGGACTAGAATCTAGAAGATGGAGGAGGAAGGGATGTACCTTGCTACAAACATCAGAGAACATGCAAAGAAGCAATTTCTTCCATATTAGTAAAACTGAGACCTCTTTTTATCACTTGTTTACCTTTCTGAAAGATTGGCAGTTTGGGAATAAAATTATCTATTTCAGTAGATCCTTTACATCATGCTGTTAATTCATATGCATGTAATCATGAAGAAAAAAAGTGTACCAAGCAGTAATAGTGGGTAATCTTAGAAGGCAGGGTTATATCAAAATTAAGGTGCAACTGGGGCCCTGCCCACAGGGAACTCAGCTCCACTTGTAAAAAATAACACAGGAGTGCCTGAGCACCTTTCCTCCAAGCAATGACCACAGGCTATGTCTTCCAAGCCTGTATGAGTCCATCTATGCTATGGAATTGGGATGTTCCCTGGGCAGGTGGGGAGAGGGCACCTTCCGTGGGTCTTTGTCCTCAGCTTCCCGTCATAGCACTGAGAGCTACCAACCACAATCTCTCTGGACACCTTTCCTCAGTTGTACAATGAGGGCCACAAACCAGGTGATCTCCACAAGTATACAAGTTTTCTTGCCTCAACCTTATTCACGACTTTGTTCATATTCTCCTGTTTCTGAGAGACAATTTCAACTATATACAGAAATCTGAAAAGGCTAATGAGTCACAGTTGCTGCTGCTGCTAAGTCGCTTTAGTCATGTCCAGCTCTGTATGACCCCATAGATGGCAGCCCACCAGGCTCCCCCGTCCCTGGGATTCTCCAGGCAAGGATACTGGAGTGGGTTGCCATTTCCTTCTCCAGTGCATGAAAGTGAAAACTGAAAGTGAAGTTGCTCAGTCATTCCGACTCCTAGTGACCCCATGGACTGCAGCCTACCAGGATCCTACGTCCATGGGATTTTCCAGGCAAGAGTACTGGAGTGGGTTGCCATTGTCTTGTCCATGAGTCACAGTCCCCAACCCCAAACCTTGTTAGTTCTGATCCACTATTTTATTCTGCAGCCAAAGTCTGTCAGACTTATCAACGTGTCGCAGTAAATACTCACGGAATCCTTGGAGAAGTGACCATTGTCCACAGAGTCCATTGGCACTGGTGGCCTCTCAAGTCTTGCTCTCTCTAGGGTCTTGATTGAATCAATTGCATTTTTAAAGAAAGTCTCTTCTTCACTTTGAAACCAGGAACCATTCCCAGAGGGAGATTCTTATGCTGCTGACAATGTTTTTCCTCTGACTTCCCCTCAAACTGTTTCCTCCCTTTAACAGATCTCTGATTAGTAATTATCTTCCAACACAAAAAGAAGAAATTCACTTACCTTCACCATTAAACCAGTGTTGTAAGCCCTAGACTATAAGGCTACCTTTAAGAAAGAAGGCATTTTCATCCCTTCTTCCTTTTCAGATAATTCCACAATTTCACAAGGATAAATAATGTGTCACATGGCAGGCAGACTGAATCAGGTTTAGCCCTATATTCTCAGAGCAGAGAGCCTGAGGTTGGCTTTGCCGCTTAATTTTTAACTTCATTTTCAAGTTCTCACTGATAAAATGAATATCTCAAAAGATGACACCATGTTTTTCTGCTTTGAACTCTTCAGACAGCCGACAAAGTCAACAAGCCTTTTTTCCTGAAAGGAAGGCAGCGTGGCATGGAAGAAAGAGCAGGGCTCCTGGAACTGGAGAGATGAGGTTAACCCCTTCTTCACATCCTGGTATTTTCTGTGGCCTTGGCCAAGTCATTTAACTTTTCTGTATTGGTTTCTGCTTTAGTAAAAGCTTCCCTGGTGGTTCAGTGGCAAAGAATCCACTTGCCAATGCATGAGACTCAGGTTCGATCCCTGGGTTGGGAAGATTCCCTGGAGAAGGAAATGGCAACCCACTCCAGTAGTCTTGCCTTGGGAATCCCATGGACAGAGGAGCCTGGCAGGCTACAACTCAAGGGGTCACCAAGAGTCAGACATGACTCAGGTTCGATCCCTGGGTTGGGAAGATTCCCTGGAGAAGGAAATGGCAACCCACTCCAGTAGTCTTGCCTTGGAAATCCCATGGACAGAGGAGCCTGGCAGGCTACAACCCAAGGGGTCACCAAGAGTCAGACATGACTTAGCGACTAAACAAAAACAATCTCAGTAAAGCAAGGACTATAATGTTCAATTCATGGGGTTACTGGGCAAATAAAATTAAATACATATGCTAACCAGTAGTGGGTCCTCACATGGCTACTCCAGTATTTTTTCCTGGAGAATCCCCATGGATGGACAAGCCTGGAGGGCTACAGTCTATAGAATCTCACAGAGTGGACATGAATGAAGCAACTTAGCATGCAGGCATGCACGCAGTAGATCCTCAATAAATGAAATATTCTCCCATTAAAGGGTTCTGTTAAATCAGCTAGGGGTTTCCTAGGTGGCTCGGTGGAAAATAATCCAACTGCCAATTCAGGAGACACGGGTTGGGTAGATCCCTCAGTTGGGTAGATCCCCTGGAGAAGGAAATGGCAACCCAGTCCAGTATTATTGCCTGGAGAACTCTAAACAGAGGAGACTGGCAGGCTACAGTCCATAGAGTTGCAAAGAGTCAGACACAACTGAGCACACATGCACACAAATCAGCTAGGCTTTCCTTATTTGGTGTCCACAGCTTGATAAATGTGAACTTTGGCTACTCTGACATCTCCCTACAAAGTTACCCTGCATCCATCCTTACTGCTTCTTATCTATGCTCTTTCTAATCCAGTCTCTGCTTGACTCCCGGTACTTGTACTTGGGTTTTTATTTATTTATTTATTGGCCACAAGACATGTGAGATCTTATTTCCCCAACCAGAGGCCAAACCTGTGCCCCTTACATTGGAAGCATGGAGTCTTAACAACTGGACCACTGGTGAAGTCCCTGCACTTGTATTTTATTTGAGATTCTTAAATTTTGGACTGTAGTTGCTACTGGATATTTCCAGTTAGGCTCTCATCCCTTATAAAATGAGGTGGAGTCCTGCCGTTTATGCCTTTGTTAGCTTTGGACTGCCTTATTGAGTTTACTTGCCCCAGATAATCTCTCCATACTCCCCCAAGGAGCCAACTGGAGCTAGCACCTTAGCTTAGCTACTTGGATCCTCTTCATTAGTGTTCTATGGTTGCTGTAATCAATTACCACAAACTTAGTGACTTATTAATTACACAACACAGATTTATTCTTACAGTTCTAGAGGTCAGAAGTCCAAAATGGGTTTCACTGGGCCAAAATTCAAGATGTCATCAGGGCCACACTCTCCTTGGAGGCTTTAGGGGAGAATCTTTCTTTTTTTTAACCTTTCCTGGCTTTTTGTGTCACCTGGCTTCCTTGGCTCATGGCTGCTTCCTCCATCTTTAAAGGCAGCAGCATAACATTTTCAAATCTTTCTACCTCTGACCTCCTACTTCCCTCTTTATAAGGAAACTTGTATTGATAATTATATTCAGCTCATTTGAAAAATATGGGATAATCTTCAGGTCTCAAAATCCTTAATCACATATGCAGAGTCCTCTTTACCACACAAGTTAACATATTCAGTTTCCAGGGATTAGGATGTGAAAATCTTCAGATGCCATTACTCAGCCTACCACAGTCTACTTTTCAAAAGTGGATAAGTAGCATGAAGAATGGAAACAACAGTCCTTCTTTCCTGCAATTGAAAAGCATGACCTGGTAGCAGCCCTTGTGGAAAAAGTATTTGAGACTGGATCTGCCAAAAAAGGACTAAATATGGTAAAGGAAAGAGTGTTCGACAGTGTCTAATGCCGCAGTAAGATTCAAAATATATTTTTCAAGCTTCATATTTTGTTTAAATTTAATCCTATAATCAGATTTTGCAAGCTCCCTGAAGGAATCTTGAGATTTTGAGAACTTGTATTTTGAGAACTTGTATATCCACAGCTCTTGCCACAGTATCTGGCCTATAGTATATGTTTAATAAACATTAATTCACTAAACAGATGAATTCTTGAGTCACATTTGCCGTCAAAAATCAAGACTTCTGCAACTGGTTCAAAGTCCTTAGCCCACATCTTGATTTTTACATAACAAAGTGTAAATCAGCTCAGTGAGCACCACACTTAATAAGTATCTACAACTTATTTATAAATAAGAAGTGTAGTGTGGCAGATAAGATCAGAATCTTAAAAAGTTAAGTCTCTTTGGCCTGGCATTATCGACTGTTTGTAGTCAGAGAAGTTCAATTCCACACTGTTTTTTGAGAATTTATATGTTCCAGACAGTATGCTAGTTTCCAAGAATATCAGTTTGTTTAAGACCTGACCCATGACTCCACAGAGATAGGCGTCCAGAATCAGACTACACACAAAGACAGACAACCAGGATGAAAAGTAATAAAAACTAATCATGCGTGCACAAGGGGCTTCCCTGGTGACTCAGGGAATGCAGGAGACACAAGTTTGATCCCTGACCAGAGAAGATCCCACAGGCCGTGGAACAAATAAGCCTGAACACCACAACTACTGAGCCTGTGCTCTAGGGCTGGGAAACCACAATCCCTGAGGCCCACATGCTGAAACTACTGGAGCCGTCTTGCTCTAGAGTCCTTACTCCACAACAACGGAAGCCACCACAGGAAGCCTGCACACCACAGCTAGAGAGTAGCCCCTACTCTTTACAACCTGAGAAAAACCCAAGTGGCACCGAAGACCCAGCACAGCCCAAAATAAAAAATAAATAAATAAAATTATTAAAAAAAGAAAAAAGTGTGCATAAAGCACTAGGAGACAACAAGTAAGGACCCCTGTCAACACAAGGGTGTCAGAGAAAGGCCTCCTGGAGGAGGCAGTCTGTGGTCTGTCTTCATGAGTAGTGTGAAAGAGCCAGTAATAATACAAAGGAAGGAATTTCCAGAAAGAACATGGTCATAGAGACATGGTGTGGTGAATTAGAGTTGTTCAACATTACTGGGGATTAAAGTACACAGGCATGAAGGAAATTTGGTCAACTGACTGGAAACATGACAAACATTAAAAAAAAAATCAATTGCTTTTCTCAACAGTAGAAATAACTAGCCAAGAATAGAAATTAAAAGAGACTTTTAATATTCCCTAGTAACAAAACTCTAAATTTTTAAGGAATTATTTGAACGAGGACAGTATGATTCAAAGGAAGAAAACAATAAAATTACACTAAAAGACATAAAACAAGATCTGGCTAAATGGCACTACATATTATATGACTGGGGGGGAGAACTTAATATCATAAATATATTAATCCTCTATGAATTAATAGACAGATTTCAGTAAAAATACAACTAGAAGAAGAAAAGATGGAAGGACAAACTGGAAATAGCCTAATGCCTATCAGTGGGGCTAACAGAACACACTGCGATGCATCCTTATCATAGAAAATTAAGCAACAGCTTAAAAGAATGAGTTGAATCTATATCACTTGACCTGGAAGCTTTCGAACAATGTCATGCAATTTTAAATGAGTAAAGCAAATGTAGAACACATAGAAAGAGATTCACTTTTTCTAAATTTTTTATTTATCCAATTTCTAATTTATTTACTAGAGAACTCTCTGAGTATTTTTGTATGAGAGTCTATGAGCCAGACCAGACTGTTAACTTTGGTTATCTGGTTTGGGTAACTAGTGAGATGCTAAAAGAAACCTGTAACAGTAAACAAAATGGTGACTACAAAAAAAAGCAACAGTTATAGTCTATGCATATAGAATTGTGTATGTGTGTGTATGTGTGTGTGAATATACATATGCACACATTTGTTTGTGTGTATGTACATGTACACACATACATGTGTTCAATATGTATGGTTTTCTTTCTCTTTCTGTTCTGTGTTCTGAACAACTCTCTAAAAATTTTCTTCCACTGTCCTAAAATAGCACTTCTTAAATCTAACATGCATATGAATTACACAGGGAACTTATTAAACTGTTAAATACCTCAGTGAGTCTGGGGTGGGCCTGAGGTTTAGCATTTATATCAAGCTTCCAGATGATACCAGTTCCCATGCTGGCCCATTGCTACTTCGTCAGTCGCTCAGTCATGTCCAATTCTTTGTGAGCTCATGGATTGTTGCCCACCAGGCTCCTTTATGTAGAAAGAAAGGCTCTTATACTCTTCCACTGTGTTTCATCTATGATTCATTGCAAGAATAATAGTCAAAAATTTTCAATGCCCATAGTTTCCCTAGGATTTCTAAATTTTAAAAATAGCCAACTTTTCTTATTTAATTTCTATTTATTTCAGTTTCATAATTTCCTGGTGATTTTAATTAAAAGTTAATATTTCATTTATTTCCTTAAGCAGTCCAAAC